GGAGGAAGAGAAGGAGCAGAAGAAGAAAGAGAAGAGGAAGGAAGATGGAGGAAGAAGAAGAAGATGAAGAAGAAGAAGAAGAAGAAGAAGAAGAAGAAGAAGAAGAAGAAGAAGAAGAAGAAGAAGAAGAAGAAGAAGAAGAAGAAGAAGAAAAGAAGAAAGAAAGAAAGAAAGAAAGAGGAAAACGTGCAATCAAGAAGAGAAGAAGAAAACATAAAAAGAATGAAAATGACGCCAAGAATCCATTTTGTTTTCGCCTTTCCATTATTTGGACTGGCAAAATCACCTCCAAGTTTTCCTGCTTAAACAGAACATCAAGTTGAGCTTTTAATTTTAAATCTAAATGCAAATTATAGTTAAATAATAATGTAAAGCATACAAAAACAGATAGCTGCTATTTTACAAGAAATAATGAATATGATTAATACATTTTGATTAAGAATGAATTGTTAATTAAATAAATCCTGACAAGTGTTTATAAAGCAATAGAAGCACATTCAAAGCAGACGGAATGTTGCTGCACAGAAATCTAACGAGAATATTTATTATTTAAGTTTCAAATCCGATGCTGAATCTAACGTGCGCCAGTCCCTACTAAGGCTGCCCCCGCCCGCCAAACCTGACGGACTGTTTGTTTAGAAGAATGGATCAAGGGAAATCGGGATATATATATATATATATATATATATATATATATATATATATATATACACACACATATATATAATATATTGCATACATACGACATATATGAATATGAATACATACACACACACACACACACACACACACACACACACACACACACACACACACACACACACACACACACACACACACATATATATATATATATATATATATATATATATATATATATATATATATATTGCATACATACGGTTATATAAATAAACATATATATGTACACATTCATACACACACAGAAGCACGCAAATATCTCATATTTCATATCTTCATCTCTGAAGATGTTTCAGTAGCCTACGTTCGGTTCACAACAGAATATAAACTGACTTTGCTGTACATGTAAATCCATTCAGCCTGTTAACATATGGTGCGCTCATTCAACACAACTGTCTTATATTGCTATCAGCATTATCAGAAGAAAGACCAAAGCCAACACTACTATCCTTAGGACATTTTTGATACAATGATAACCTTATCTGGAATGTGATTTTCTTTATTTGATTTTATTTGACGAGTAAGGAGGTGGACTGCGTTAAATGATAGATAAAAAAGTAAAACAGAGTGGCACGTTGTTTCTTTCACTGATTTTCGGTAAATAACAATTAAAAAGAAAAAAAAAAGTTTGAAATGCCCTTCTATTGCTATTCAATATAAACTTGTGTAGCACATTGTAATATATTTAACGTCAGATATTTTGGGGAATTCGAATTTTCGTATTTTAGTATTATTTGATATTAAATTAAGATATATTACAGGGAAATCATGACCACAGTCGGAAAATTTAGATTACATAAGAATAAAGAATATGTTTGTAAATAATTCGTGATATATTGTAATCTTCGAGATTTATTTCAGTGAAATCTGGAGAATTAGTAATGTATTCTAGCTGGAATATGTTAATATCAGAATAGTTATTAAAGATGCATGAGTTTTACGCGTGAGGGAAGTTGTTGAGGTGTAATATATAATGACACAAGCAAGTAAAGGCAAAATGTGTATTTTCTTTTTATTTACATGCTCTCTCTCCTGTCTGTTTTTGCCAGTTGCGTATTTCTGTTTATTTGTATGTCCTCCCGTTTTTTTTTTGCTGTTGTTCTTGTTGGTTATTTTCCAGATCTAATTGTGCCAGGAAACGGCGTTGACAAAGTATCAGCTGGCATTATTATGAAAATTAATTAGGTTTATATCAGGTACCGGCAGAAAGAGAAATTATTATTTTTTTCTTTCTTTCTTTTTGTGCGTATGTTCTCAAAGAAAGGGAAGGAAGGACAAAGGAAAAAGCAGAATGAGAAGTAATTAATCTATTATGCATATTTATCAGAGATGGAAACTGTTGTTGGTTTCTCGGGAAGTTGAAAAGTGTGCGTAGTATCAAACGGAAACTTTCCTGAAACCGAGACAATAAGCTGAAATACAAAGCAAAGACATCATTGTTTTTAGATCTGTTTCAAAGTGCCTCCTCCGAGTACAATGAGATTTTGAAGTCTATTATTGTGAAGCGGGTTTTATTCAGCGTTTTATATTTGTCTTATACGATTTCTAGGATTGGCGCAGTTGGATAATATGGCGTTTTTTTTTTTTTTTTTTTTTTTTTTTTTTTCATTGGAAGGAATTTCCTACAACTGCGGATTCTTGTCATATTCTAGAATTCTTGGAAATGATCATTGATTACATTGAAATTCGAAAGGAAATATATATATATATTAATACACACAGACACACACACACACACACACACACACACACACACACACACACACACACACACACACACACGCACACACGCACACACGCACACACGCACACACGCACGCACATACACACACACACACACACACACACACACACACACACACACACACACACACACACACACACACACACACACAGACACACACACACACACACACACACACACACACACACACACACACACACACACACACACACACACACACACACACACACACACACACACACACATATATAGATATGTACACGTAGATTTTAAAAGAACAAATAGAGTCCATTCACCTCACGAATCACACCCACTTCCCAGTAAATAAAGAGAGCGAATCTTCCCCGAAGAGCAGAGCGAGTGAACCCCAAACACAAAGTTTCTCTCCAAGTTGGATCCTGGGAGGTCGATGTTGTTTGTTTATATCTGTTTCCTATGGTAATCCAAGGCGAGCGCGCATTCGGGGAACTGATGCTCGCCCTGACGCCCCCGCTCGGCCGTGGGGGGGAGGGGGGGGGAGGGTCCGGAGGCTGCGGGATCCGGAAATTCATTTTGCATAAATAAGATGAGAGATGGAGGGATGGAAAGATGGAGGGATGGAGAGAGAGAGAGAGAGAGAGAGAGGAGAGGAGAGAAGAGAAGAGAAGAGAAGAGAAGAGAAGAGAAGAGAAGAGAAGAGAATAAAATAAAATAGAAGAGAGACAGAGAGAGAGATAATTTTACAGTAAAGACAAATGGACGATAGTATTGTTGAGAATGTATGATGTTTGTTGCTAAGATGAAGTTTTGAAAAGTTGATTTTTCTGTTGCTTCACTTGGTTGATTTTAATGATAACCTTTTCCTAGTTTGTCTGTTTTTTTTAAGATATGGTAAAACTTTGCTTACTGTAAAAAAAACAATTCTTAAACAATGGTAAGACATGTGAGAGAGGGAGAGAGAGAGAGAGAGAGAGAGAGAGAGAGAGAGAGAGAGAGAGAGAGAGAGAGAGAGAGAGAGAGAGAGAGAAATATGTGCCCTATCAAAGAAGTTTATACAATTAAGATCATGATTCAACCAGAAACGGAAGGCTCAAAGGTTTTACCGGGAAACTAATTTGCATGTAAACGAGCGCGTACTGAATCGCCGGCCATTTGTAAAGAGAAAAAGACGAAAACGGCAAGATTTCAAGAAGTGAAAAATTCACACACACGATAATAAATATGATCCTGTTCGAAGATGTTAAATAATACTGCTGCGAATTCTTACAGATTCTTACACAGGTGGGGAATGGATGCCAAATCTGTCGAAAATGAGAGCTGCTATAGAATGGAGAATAATTATTGTACTGTATTAAAAGTGCATCTTTAGAGATAAACAAACACACACATACTCAGAGGGAGGGAGGGAGAGAGAGAGAGAGAGAGAGAGAGAGAGAGAGAGAGAGAGAGAGAGAGAGAGAGAGAGAGAGAGAGAGAGAGAGAGAGAGAGAGAGAGAGATGGATAAAGATATGAAGAGAGACAGAAACAGACTTAGAAACAAAAATAGATAAATGACGAGAGATAGAAACAGACTTAGAAACAAAGATAGATAAAAGACGAGAGACAGAAACAGAAACAAATAGACAGGCATAAGAAAAGAAACGAAAATCTTTTCTCCGTAAATCGCATTAATTTGTTTGATTATCCCCCAAACGAAAGCTGCCAAATTAACCGGTCATGTTTGAAGAACATTAGACTGATATTAGATTCTTCAAGCCTCATAAAACGGAGTACTGGAGCGTCTTGAATGGCGGCCGCGTGGGTGGCTCTTTTCCTTATTGGCTCCCCATCCGCTTCGTCTTCAGCTGTTGTCTTCCTCTTTTTATTTAGCTGTTGTCTTCCTCTCCTTCTTTAGCTGTTGTCTTTCTCTTCTTCTTTAGCTATTGTTATCTTTCTCACCTTCTTTATTTGTTGTTATCCCTTTCGTTATCTGATGTTTTTTCTCGCCTGCTTTATCTGTTGTTACCTTTCTCACCTTTATTTGTTGTTATCTCTTTCGTCATCTGTTGTTTTTCTTGCCTGCTCAATCTGTTTTCTTATTTCCTCTTCTTCTTTATCGGTTTTCCTCACCTTATTTTATCTGTTTTCTTGCTTTCTCTTCCTCTTTATCTAACGTCTTTTTTCTTCCTCTTCCTTATCTATCATTTTCTCCATCGTTATTACTTGTTTTCTCTCGACATCTTTATCTATCGCTTTACGTTTGTTAATTTTATCATCTTCGTCTTCTTCACCATCTATCGTCTTCCTCTCTATCTATAATGGTTTTCCTTTTCTTCTCTATCTCTGTTCATCTTTTCTTTTCTTTATCTATCATCACCCTTCCCCTCTTCGCAAATTATGACGGTCGAGCAAATAAAAGTGAAATATATATATATATTGTTTTCGCTTTTCAAAAATGCAAAAACGGTCGTTAAAATGTTACAGACGACTTTGATGATTAATGGTGTTAGTTATTGCAAAATACGTTTTCTGGGCCTCGAATTATATGATGTTGACTATGCAAGTAATGTTCCTGTGTCCCCCCACCCCGCACACACACATTGAAAAAAGTAAATAGAAAGTGATAGATATAAAGAAGGGAATAAAAAGATATGTTGTTGCTCATGTTTAAGTTATTTTATTTTGTTTTATTTGTTTTCAATTCTAAGTTGCTTCTCTATCAAATCCCTCCCCCCCAAAAAAAAAGAAAAAAAAAAGATGGCTTTGTACCATAAATAGAAAGAAAGAATTCGGAACGAAAATCTTAATATTGTAGAAAAGGTTAGTGTTATCTTATCGCGGAGTTTTTGCTTTGCTGCAGTTTAGGCGAGGGCTCTCTATGCACTGGTTAACGCACAGGAACTTCCTAATTCGGCGGATGAAACCGTGCTCGGCTGACATGCCATTTTTTGTGTATATACACTCTCTCATGCAAGTACTTTACGTTTACTTTTACACTTACGTTTATATTTTCACTGACTCTTACATTCATACTTACATTCACGCTTATATTTACACAGACTCATACACATACTTATACACGAATAACTACACACCCATACATTTAAAGAAAAAGCACACACACGTGCAAGTCCTTGTGGACATACACATATTTGCGGTCTTTATTTTGCTTTTTTTTCCCCCGCCATGGGTCCAGACCGCTGGTGTGCTGAGTGTATTGATGGCGTTCGCTTTCCTCATGAGCCCCGACT